GGCTCCTGCTGCCAGCTGACACCCTGGGCACTGGCACGTTGGGCATTTGAACACGAATTCCGGTGGCGTTTGCCTTGCTTTTCAAGTGCCTTGTCAGATGATTGTCATTCATTGTTTTTAATGGTTTTTATGCCTTCATATTAACTGTGCCTGCAGGTATAAAGTGACTCAGGCAGAGCTGTTTGCGTTGTTGTGTCGTCTGGCGGATGAATTGCTTTTCAGGCAGATTGCTTGGATCAAGAAGCTGCCGTTCTTCTGCGAACTCTCCATCAAGGACTATACCTGCCTGCTCAGCTCTACATGGCAGGAGCTGATCCTGCTCTCCTCGCTGACTGTTTACAGCAAGCAGATCTTTGGTGACCTTGCGGACGTCACCTCCAAGTACTCTCCTTCTGACGATGAGCTGCACAGGTGAGAGGTCGGGCTGAGCCCGGGAGCGAGATCTAGGGGTCAGGAGCCGTCAAGAGGATGGTGGTCAGGCGTGTGTTTCTGGCCCTGTGATCGACTAACCACCTCTCCTGGGACAGGTCACCTCACCTGCTGTTTTCCTTTTCTATTTTTTAGGGAATGGTTGTTCCAGGCTTAGAAAGTACACTATGGCTAGTCAGTGGTGAATCAAAGCTTCATTCTGCAGGGGAAGCTGTGTGGTGCTGTGCGGTGCTGTTTGAAGTTCCCACAGCGATGCTGTTGTTCTCCAGCACAGCCCTACAAACCGCCTTTTTTATGGGGAGAGTAAAACTAACCAACACTTCGGCTAACCCTGAAATACAGAATGGAAGGTCTTACTTAAAAACCCTTCGGGCCAGTGGAAAGGTTGTTCACAAAGCTGGTTGTCTGTATTATCAAAGTGTTCATTATTAATTGCTATTTCATTGTTTTGATTACATAAATTTAAAGATGTTGCAACTTAGCTCTTGTTTTTTCCATAGTACATGCTATCTGATGCTCTGAGGAACCTGCCTTTCATTTATCATTTTGGTCCGGGTGTTGTTTTTTGGTTTGGGTGTTTTGTTTTGTAGTCTTGGTGCCAGACAGATCTTTCTTCTGGTAGTAGACTCACAGTCTCGTAATACTATGGCAGAATAGGTAGGATTTACGGAAACTGCTGCCCACCTCCCCTTTTATCATCTGCCCTGTTTGCACTCTGCCCTGGCTAGGCTTGGCGATTTTGCAAGAGTCACCAGGGGATCGAAGTGTCTGATGAGCAGAGATTTAAAATTCTGCTGTGCTCCTCAGCCATCGCAGTATCTAACGGTTCCTGGAGGTTCCTTTGTACGCTGTTTTGACAACCAGAGGGGCTGGGCGGCTGAGACCACGGCGTGCCGTGGCGGAGTGGAGGAGCCGAGAGCTGGACCCAGGTGTCTCATTTCCTGGGGCAGGTTCCGCCGCGGCGCTGTTCTGCCCAGCCATTCATCCTGCATCTGGTGCTGCTCCTGCAAGGAACAGTAAGGGTCATAGAAAACCACAATAACACTTGTTCCTGCATTCAGCCGTCCTTTTGTTCCTGCTGTCCTGGTCAGAGCCTCAAAAGAGAAGTGTTTGTTTCGTTTTGGGTTTGCGATAAATACGAGCGAGAGGTAAGAGAACAAAACAAAGGAGGAATCCTCGCCCTTCAGAAACCAGCAATTCAGAGCTGGTTGCTTCGAAAGTCCTTCAGAGAAGATCTGTGCACATGGATGAAAATAGGTGTTCTTGGGAGTGCAATGTTTCTGCAATCTCCTCTTCTAATTTAGCTTTTCAAGTATCACTAATTGTCATTAGTAACATGGGAAAATGCACACCAAAAAAAGCCATTTAGCGGGAGGTTGCACAGATGAGGGGCCTCAAGCTGCATGGCTCCCTCCTCGTTGTCTTATGGTCGTTCAGCCATAGCTTGGCTGCCTGCAGGCGGCAGTGGGTAGTTCATGGGTATTACTCTCCCTGTCCGATGCACTCGCGGAAAAACTGGTCCCTGTGGATTTGAGAGGGGCTCTTACGGAGAGGTGTCCAACTTGCGGGCTTCCTCGGAGAGGCCCCATTTCCTCTGGTGTGGATCAGTAGTGATAGCAAACCAAAGCTCATTAGATCTCACAGCCCGTTGAAGGAATCTCGCTGAGCGTGATAGTCTGGTGCTCTGGGGTTAATTTCTGTTCTTATTTAGCAAAACGACGGGAGTGATGCGAATGCTTAGGTGGGTGACAAATGAAGGCATAGGATGCGCTCCCCAGCCCCTCTGTTTTAATCACTTCTAACAACTGGCTAGATGTTCTGTTTGCCTGCTAGATCAAATGTTTTCTTTTATTGTGCTGTTTTTCTGGAGGTGAATATGAAATGAATAGATTCCTGACCTCCCCCAGCACTCCTGATAGTGCTTCCCTTCCCCCTCCTCCCCAGCTGATCCCGATAACTCCCAGCCAGAAACTTGCCTGGTGTAAACTGCAAGGAAAAGTGTGTGGAGGAGTCAGTCCTCGAGAAGAAATAGGGCTGTGGAAAACAGAACAGCTTTGTTTGAAAGGGGGAGGAAAGTATGCACAGAAAAGTAAGACAGTTCAACTGCAGGAATGAGAGAAGAGCTCTCCTGGATTTATGAAGTGATGAGTGGCTGGTAAAAATGTGCATGCTCTAAAAACAATTAAACCCAACAGACAACTGAGTGGTCTTTGTGCTCATTAACTTCTTGAGCTTTGCAATCTTGCACCTGCAGGATTTTTAATGTCAACTGGAGAGCAAGAAAACTTGTACAACTTTAGATTAGCCGACAAGGCTTTCATCACTTACAATATTAGTTTCTTGAAGAAGTGACCTGGAGTTCAGATAGCTTGTTTTCACTTCTCTGAGGTCAAACTACACCATGCATTTTACAAATAACTTTGAAGTAAACAAACATACATGCCAAAATAAGGTATTATTCAGTGAAAAAGGTTCTATTTTTGTGCTATTCAAAGATGGTTTTCTGGCTGTGCTCTTATTCTTTGTGCTGTACAATACCAGAGCACAGCTGAAGCTTCCCTAAACACTTCTGTCCCACTTCTGAGCATTTTTGCAATATGCAGTTTCTTTGAAACTGGGGTTGTTGCTCTGAGATGCGTTCCCGGCGGCTGTTCTGGCTGTTGGCACGCCTGGGACAGTCTCCAGCTCTGCTGCGGCTTCTGCCTGTTGCTTACACCGTGGCTTTTTTGTGGTGCGCATGTGGGGTGTCAATCTTGTAGAAGAAGCTTGGCACCCTCTTCTGCAGGAGGACCTCGTTCTGCACCCATAGACTCTCCATCAGGCGATTTCCCAGGAGATTTTGGGGAGATTTGCATTCCCTGTGCAGCAGCGTGCCCTCTCCCGCCCGTCTGTGTCACTGGCTTCCCTTGGCAAGCGTGGATGCTCAGGAGAAATGCACGGCTTGTTTTCAGCACATGGTACAAATGCAGAAATGCGTGTGGCTGTACCTGGTGAGGTGCGCCAGGGCGGGTGTGGGTGGTGGATCCAGACCCCGGCAGCGGTCCCTGACAGCCCGCTCTAGCAGCAGTGCTTTTCTGGTGTGCGTTCGTGAAGTGCCATGAAGGCTGCCTGACCTGTCTGAGGGGGAGAGTGTAGAAGGAGACGGCATGCGTTCCTTGGACTGCATGACTCAACCTTAGACCATAGCCTGCAGTTTCACTCCCTCTAACATGGGTTATTTGTGGTTTTATGCATATTAGTATTTGTGAGAAGGATCCCAGCCTTCCTGCAGTATGTCTCACCCCAGAAGCTCTCAGCCAAGGAAAATTAATAAGCCATAACGAACGGGCAATAAATATAGTACAGGACCTCTGTGAGTCACTCCTGGGAATTTTGGGGAGGTGAGCTTTCTCACCTGCCTGTCAGATGAATGGAGCGCGTGCCCCTGTTGTACACGGGTCAGTGCAATTCCTCAGCGTTTAAAGCAAGGCTGTTTGCAGCGGCACTCTGAGAAACTGTAAGCACTGTTGCTGCTGGAAATGGACTTTGTTCTGGGAGGCAGTGTCTGTGCAGCAGGCGCTGGGGTCCGTGTTCCTGCGGTCCTGTACCACCCTGCTTGGGTGCTGCTCTGTTCAGCTGGCACGCAGAAATGTGCTGTGCGGAGCCAAAGCCTGGGCATTGCGCTGGTTCTGTAGGCAATGGATAAAATTAATTTATCAGCTATGTAGAATGGAGGGGTTTGTTCAAAAAAACCAACCAGTTGGATGTCAGGTGGGGTGTGTGTGCTGCAGGGAGCCAGCGTTCTCTGTGAGGGGCTGTAAAGCAGCAGCGATCCCGGATCTCTCAGGGTGGGGTGCCGGGTGCTGCTGGGGACACCTCCAGGCCCCCAAGGATGCGTCGGCGTTTCTGCTGGTGGCCGGTGCAGGATACGTTGGGCTGCTGCGAGTGGTGAAAAGCACAAATTGAAGAAAGGTGCGAGGCAGCGAGGGGCGAGAACATGTGAAACGCTGCTGGGGCGGCTTGTCTTCTGAGCGGGGGAAAGCCCTCCAAGGATCGCTAGAGGTGCTTTTATCCTGCAAAAGTATCCATCAGGAGTAAGGCGCAGTGCTGTATAACGTGGTGTGAGCTGCTTTCTGCCCCGGATAGATGCGGTGCGACACCAGGCAGACGGGGAATACCCTCTGACCCTTGCATCTGGCAGGACAACGGGCGTCTTGCAGGGTATTTTCATGTCCTACGAGACCAAGTATCACTCCGCATTTCTATGAAATCTCATCTCATTCCCCAGACTGCTTGGTTAAACCTCCCATTAGCCCAGCAAAGTGCAAAGGCACATTTCTCATCGAAATCTGGAGAAATACAAGTGTAGAGAGGCAAAGCAGTGTGCCTACAAGCACACAAGAGGTTTTTGCATATTCCTGGCTCCATCAAACCTTTTCCCCTGTCAGAGCAGTCTGGTGATGGACTGAAGCACCAAGAGATGTTTTTTTGCTAAAATATCTGTAGCAGTGATGTTTGTAACTGAGTCATTTTCCTTCTTACTTCTACTTTAATTCAACAGTGCCAGCAGACTTCAAGCAGTTTTGATGACAATTTTTTTTAATTCTCTTGCAAGATGTTAAAATCTCTGAAGTTGTTTTAATAAGCTTCTTGCCTTTATTGTACGGACTGTGTCCTGTATATGTTGATGTGTGATCTCTGTCCTCCAGATTCAGTGAAGAGGGAATGGAGGTGATGGAGCGGTTGATCTACCTCTTTCGCAAATTTAACCAGTTGAAGGTCAGCAACGAGGAGTATGCGTGTATGAAAGCCATTAACTTCCTAAATCAAGGTGAGTCGACGAAGAGAAGGTATTGGCTCCACTGGAGAAATTCTCTGAAACAGTCTGAGCAGTCTTTGCTTCCCTGATGAGAAATGGGAGGAAGCGCTCCAAGACCCACAAAGAAACTCGAGCTCTGAAACCTCTCTACATGTTTGCCATCGTGCAGACTATACGCTGTGCCGAGTGGGATACTTGGGTACCCATGGGAAGAAATTCTGGAAGTGAATGAATTCATTTGCTTAGCTGGTTTTTATTGCCTTTAAATATAGTCACCAAGGGCAGTAAGTGTGTCATTTTGCATAGGTACCAACGGTACCAATACCAGAATGAGAACAGAGCAGAGAGGCCGGTGAAACCTTTTGGGATAAGGTTTGGGTGAATGACGACTCACCAGCTGCTAACAAACTTTTCATCAGGCGAAGATGTGTCATCTGAAAGTATTATTGCTTTAGGTAGCTGTTTAGGTAATTAACTAAAGGATACTTTAAAAGCAGTGACTTTGCATGACTCTGTTTTCTGAAGTAAGCATTGACTATTTGCATCACAACCTTTCAAAGATACCCAACTAGAAAATTTATTGGTTCGTTTTTCTGCTTTAAAGGGTGAATTTGTAAAACCACTTCTCCCTTTTTTTAGAGCTTTTCTGACTCTAAAATATTTGCCTTCAGGATATATACTTAGCTCACCTAGTTAGCTTTCTACTATTCAGATTCTCTACCTCATGCAAGCTCTGTAAAGTGAAGAGTAATCGTGGATGAAGTATTTATGTGCAGGCACTGAATTCTGCCTAAGAAGACACTGAATCCTCCAGTTTATTAACCAGCCCATTAAAGCTGTCAGTCCAGGCTGCTGCAAGACCCTAGACATGTCAAAATCCGTGCAGAGTAAATCTTCAACATGTCAGAAGATCCTGGTCGTTCCCTAACACCTGTAGTGGGCTGAAATCGTTTGGAATAGGCGTTTGTGGCAGCGCCGCGTCTGTCGGGGCTTGCAGGACATTTCTTGTTGTAAACGAAGAAAACTGTTGAGAGGTGAATGCTTAATGGATGGTGTTCAGCTGTAATTTTGGAAATAAATGTCCCCAAAGTCTTCTGTACTGTGAAAGATAGTTGCAGTCTGTAAAAATGTGCTGCAGGCTCTGTCCTCCCCCACTCATTTCCAGCAGGAGATAGTGCTGACGCTTCAGTCTGTGCCGGGCTGAGGTTCCGGTTTGCTTCCCTGGGCAGTTTCCTGACACTGGATAATGCACTTCTCGAGCTGTCTCCATTGTTTTCCAAAATGCTTTTTCATTAATTTCCTGTCTTCTTTTATTTTTAGTTGAAGTTTGCAATTTTTTATGTGAAATACCTGAGAATTATTTTTAAAAGTCAGCTTTTGGGCAGTAGATAAATGCCTCTTCCGTCAGATGGTCTTACAATACTGAGCCTGCCCCGAGGGTCCGCAGCTGCCTTGCTCCACCGCGCTGGATCCTTCCCAGGACCCCCAGCAGCGTGCCGATGCCGTTGATCACGCTGAACGGTGGCAGCGGGACTTCCTGCCAGTTTGATAGCTTGGACAGGTCCATTTTTCCTTTGTGTATGTTGCCTGACATTGGCAAAGCTAAATTTAAAAATAAGAAGTTGACAAGTTTATAAAGCTCATGTGACATAATTCATAAGCAGATGGGGAGAAATATGATGATACCTTGAATTATAGAGTTGAGCGCTTTCCTCAGCCAAGATGATATAGCTAAAATCAACATGTTTCTGTCTGAGGAAGTATTACGCTGAATCCGCTGTGAGGACTAAACCTTGACGTACAGCTGCTCTACACCAGGCAGGCAGGTATTTAAGGTTGCTGGAGCTGTTACCTCCAAGAGTGTTCGCCGAGCTCTGTAGATGAGCAGCTTAGGACATTAGCTGTTCTCATCCTGGTCTTTCGTGGAAGGAAATCCCGTACCCGGGCACGCGTGTAAAGACGCCTCCGCGATGCAGGCGCGCCAGGAGGGGCGAGGGGGTTTTAGTATTTGTCTAACTGGGCACTCGAAGCCTGTCTCTGAAGCAGGGACCCAGCTTAGAGTTTTAGCAATCAGTCCACCTTCCCTGAAGAAAGGGGGGTAAGTGTGAGACTGCTGCTCTTCTGGGATGTTTTCGTCATGTTTTCATTCCTCTAATCATATTTGCTTTCAGACATCAGGGGTCTGGCTAACGCGTCCCAACTGGAGCAGCTGAATAAGCGGTATTGGTATGTTTGCCAGGACTTCACGGAGTACAAATACCCACACCAGCCAAACCGTTTCCCGGATTTAATGATGTGTTTGCCAGAGATACGATATATTGCAGGTAACTTTTTGAGCTCTTCTCCCACTGGGATCATGTGCAAGTTAGGAAATTTGCTTTTAAAAGAAAACTAATTTATAACAGTGGAATTCTTGTCGACTTCGGTGGAGGATGTTTGTGGGGGACCTTTTTCCGTCGAAGGTTCTCGCCCACCTTTAGGCCCATCACCCATAGCTCACCCTAGCTCGCCCTGGCCCTTTGCAAGTTTTCTTTGTGACGCTGGCGGACGCAGTGTTACGTTCTGCTCCAGGAAGACATGCCTTGCTCTGACCTGCTGCCCTTTAAGAACTTTGGTCAGGTTCTCCTTTTATTTTCTTCCTTTCAGTCCCAACTTGGAGGCATTTTGTCTCAAAAGGGTGTAATCCTGGTTTGAGTAGTTATAAGAAATAGAGGGATCCCTGAGATGCAGCTTAATTAAGGAGCAGATGATAAGCAGAGCGGCGGGCAGCTCTGTAACCCCCAGGTTTCAGCTCGTCTGGACCTCTGAAATCCGCAGGTGAATTTTCAAATGCAGTTGTGTCACTAATTAGATTTACAAGGTCTGGTGTTACTAAAACATCATTTGTTCCTGAATGTTACGGCAAAGGGAGATACTTGCCTCCCGGTGTCAAGGCTCTGTATGCTTCATCCTACTCCGTTGTAACGAACTAGATAATAATCACAGAGCAGCTCTTGTAATTTACTCATTGAGATCAACAAGGGAGTTTGAGGAGAGACGGGATTTAGTCTTTCCCAGTTTCTATAAATACTGCTTCATTGTGGGGAAATCATTTTGATCTGACTTTGCCCATTTATTTTGCTTTCAATTCAGTAAATAATAAATCCTGTTGTGTCCAAATGAATATCAAATGTCTAATGTAGCAGTAGGATGATTAACTGTTTCTCTGAGAGGTTCAAGGTAAAACCATCTCTGGCGTTGCTGGCTTAGGTGTCTCTGAAATCTGATTCAGGAGTGGCTGCTAATTCTGGGGTCTTTTTTCTTACCAGGAAAAATGGTGAATGTCCCCCTGGAGCAGCTGCCTCTCCTTTTTAAGGCCGTTCTACATTCCTGCAAGACAAGCGTGAGCAAAGAGTGAGCCCAGGTCGCCCCGGCCGGTGCCTTACGCTGTGCCTCAGGCAGGGAGCTGGCTCACCTCGGGAGAGGGGCAAAACCGTTTTTTTTTGGCCGCCCCTGCCATTGTAGCAAGAATCTTTTTTGTTTGTTTTTGTTTTTTTACTCTTTTTCCTATATATTTATTTCACGACAGAGTTGAATGTATGATCTTCAACACGATGCACATGGTTCTGTATGAATGCAGCAGATGCATTCTCCAGCGGTTTACAGAATGTGAAGATGTTTAATGTTACAGTGTTTGTTAGGGTTAGTTCTTTTTTATTTTGGGGGCTGGGGACCGAGATGACTAAGACTACCTCAAGGAGAAGATGCTGTTCACGCACTGCTCTTTCCGTGATTTGTATCCAGAAGCGTTTGTTGTAGAGAGCAAACGGCCTCACCGCATCAACAGAGCTGTTAGTATCCCAGATGGACAATTTTGGAGAAGTGGGTGTTAGAGAAGTGCCAAGCTTTTTTTCTTTAAATATAATAATAATTTTAAAAAGGCAGGGAGTGGAGAAGAAGGAAGAGTCTGTCTAGACAGTTGGTTTCTCTTCCCCTGGCAGTTTTCAGATGCAGGTGGTAGCTCCTGGGGTTTCCCAGAGTCCTGCCCCAGCGGGATCATAGCGCTCCCGAGCTGCGAGGGGCTCGCTGCCCCCGTCCCCTCCTGGGAGCTGCAGGAGTGGGCTCTGCCCCAGCCCCAGCCTGACCAGCTGGCCTCTCGCTAGTGCTGCAGCATCTTTCCATTCGACTGAAATTGCGTGGCTGCAGTTCGTAGCAGGCTCCTGGCGTTACACAAAGGTACTCTTGTTGCTAGAGAACTGCAAGTAATTTCTCATCACTTCCTTAACATCCATTTTAGGTTCACAAAAGCAGGAAAAACCTACTTAGAGAAGAGGCAGGATTGCCCCTTCTAGCGTGTTCCTCTGAGGTGGTACATGACTACTGAGGAGCCTTCTGCTTTGCAGCAATCCCAAGCAGCCCGTGTGTGGGAACAGTTAATGTACCGGGTGGTTAGATGAGACCTGTGTAACGGGGTAAGGGACTCCAGTGTCCTCTGGCATGGCTTTCTCTGCTGGACTCAGGGAATGCATGATCCATAGTCATATCCTGCCAGGACTGTTCTCCTTGTGGAATCCCTTCTTACCAAGAGAAATGTTACTAATGCAGTACTTGGTAAACTGTTCTGTCCTAGGTGTTGCAAGGCTTGGGTTTTCCATCTCACAACCTCCACACCACTCCACTGCATGGAGAAGTGGTTTAATGACAACTGGTTAGCTGTTTGAGTGATTTCTAAGTGCTAGTGGTTATCTAAGTATGGGTATTCTCATGAGTCACCATATGGCTTCCTGCTCGTGGTGGTGGTGGGGAGGTTGGATGAGATGCTCTTGTTCTCATCTCTTCCGTTAGGAATTAACTTTCGAAGACTCAGTCACTCTCCTCAGCAGCCACGATGCTCTGGCTGGATTTCCTTCCATGCCCTTAGATACTGAATCCAATGTTTATGTAGCAAGAAGGTTCATCAACAAATTTTTCAATGCGGTTTTAAAAAGATTTTGGGAGACAACTTCTGTTCCTTCAGGGTAGAGGGAACCAGTTGCTGCCTTTTTGTCTTGTCCTGATGACAGCTGTGTGGCACAAAGCGAGTACTGCTCGCAGGTGCTGAAGCTGCTGTGAGATCAAAATGAATGTGATGGTGAACAGGAGAAAAACCTCAGTCACCAAAGTCGTCTTTCCTTCCCCTTCACCCAGCGGGTGCTCCCTCGGTGCAGCCCAAGAGATGCGGTGACCCACTGGCTTGGCACGTCTCTCGGTTAGTCAGCAGCCGTGCCGCATCCCCGGTGCTGACCGCCACGGTCAGACCTCTCCTCGGAGACCCGCTGCTGGCTGACCGCAGACCCACGGCGGCATCACCTTCTTTGCAATCCCGCTGGGGCATCTTCCAGCTTGATGGTTTCCCTTTTCTAAAAGTCCACTAGCTGCTCACTTTTCATTATTTAAATAGGATGTTACGGGTAACGGCTGCTGGGCCCAGCAGCAGTTCAGCTTGATAGAGCTTCACAATCCAAAGGTGGTTCCGTAAATCTCGTTTACTTTCTGACTGTAAAATGAGACAAGCACGTATTTCTCAGGAAAGCCTTCTGCATACAGCCTATACCTCAAGTGTAAATGGGAAGATTTTAGTATGTCTGTTTGTAAGTTAGAAAGTATTTCTCAGCTTTTAAGTTTAATTTCCAGATAGCTTGGTATGATCTTTTTATTACGGGTTGTCTTCTGGCTTGCTGTTTTATACACTCAAGGAATTGTTAAAATTGCATAGGAGTTACTGAATTATTATAATCTGTTGATGAATAAGAGTTTGTTTTAATTAGTGTACATAAAAGTGGTCATCTTATTGCCAAATACCCAACAAAATAATCTATTAGGTATTCTGTGTTTATCCAAAAGAGACTCCCAAGACTAATGCTGTACCAACAACAACAAACCTAAATTCATTTATGATGATGAATGGACAAGAATGTTCTCCTGTCTGTTGTATAAAGCAGGTTTTACAAAGGTTGATGGGCGGCAGTGTCCATTAACAAATAACCCAGTTGTTGTAGGCAGTAGGAAAGCCTTACTAAACTGACAAGTAAGGAAGACGCCGATATAGCGAACCAGAGTCTAGCTCACTGGACAGTCATTCTTAATATCTTCTGCACCGAGTCCTCTAATGACTTGTGTTTTTTAAACAGGGTAAAGTGAATGTGTTGCATTGCAAACTCAGGTATTATGAGAAGGTAGGAACGTAGCTAGAGATGTAGAGACATTAGGTCAGTCACTAGATGTATTTGTGAATTTGGTTTGAAGGACACCCTGGAAAGGTTGGAATTTTTGTTCCATTCTTCACGTAACATTCGGTTTACAGGGACTCATATTTTATTTGTGCTTAATGCTAGTAGGGGGAAGTTCATTATCTTTGGTATCTATCTGCTCTTGCTTATCTGACCTTCTGTCACAGAGAAATCAATCAACAATAATAGTCTTTGGTAGAATTTTCTGCCATGACAAGTCAATTTTTATCCCCGATTTGAAAGATAAATTGGCTGACTGACCCCCTCCTCTCCTTCATAGCATTTGTGCAGATGGAAAGCTGAAGAGTTACTTTTAATCCGAACAGAGATTTGGGACATAAATTTGAAGTGCTCCGGCGCCCGTACTGGGCGGCCCTCTGCCGAGGTACGCCGGTTGCCGTGTGGCAGCTGGAAGCTCGTCGCCCAGCGCGGAGAGCTGCTGCCGGCTGACGGGGCAGAGTCCCAGCTCGCGTGGCCAGACCCCAGGACCTGAACAAAAGCTTCTTGAAAGCAACCGGGTTTTCTTCCGCTGCCTGCCTTTGGGTCAGGCTTCTGTCCCGTGAGCTGAGCCTTGACCCCACTGTGTGTGTCAGCAGCGAGTCCTTGTCCTCGGCGTGCCCGGCCTCTCGAGAGCGCTGGGGGACGGAGGGACGACCGGGATGCCAGGAGATGCCAGGTACCAGTCTTAGGAGATGCCGGGTCCCAGTCTTACCTGATGGCCACTGGGCGTGGCAGAGTCGATGCCGCAGGAGCTGACTCTCCAGCCGTTTTGCATACGCATTAGCTACCTCCTGATCGTTAGCAACGCCGGGGCGTTCGTCTGCCTCCTCTCCCGCCCGCCAGCCCGCAGTGCTGGGCAGAGGCGCTGCTTGCCTTGGGTCAGCGGGGTGCAGCTCTGGATTTTTCTGTAATTCTTCCTTCCTGAGCTTTTGCCGTCTCCCGTCACGCAAAGACCGAAGGGGGAACGCGGCGTTTTCAGGGTGATCGGTGCAAAGCGGTCTGTCGGGTTGCCGGCTGTGGGGCAACCTGTGCCAGCGAGCTGCTGCCCCAGTAACGCCCATTTTCCC